GCCCACAGTGGAGGTGCCAGATTTGTAGCCCTGGACATGGAGCCAGGCGGCCTCGGCCTGAGTGACATCCATGCCATCAGTGTGCGCTGCTGTTCCCGAGGCACTGAATGCCCTGAGATGCCACTTGACAGACAAGGAAACTGAGGCTTACAGAGGGTGGTAACTTATGGAAGGTTTCACGGTGGAGCACTGGGATTCGGGCCAGGCCTGTCTGATGGCAGAGGCTGTGCTCTGAGTCACGGGGCGCTGTGTTCCTTCCTGGCTCACGGTGTGACTTGCGCTGGTCACTTTACTCTCAGTTCAGAGATACTGCCCTTGCTCACTTATCTTCTGGAGCAGAGGGCAGTGTCTCAGTCTGCATCTGTTTCTAGCAGTTGAAACAGATACCACATGGCAGGCAGCGTAAAGGACAGAGGTGGTTTCCCCCTTCCCCCTGGCGGTGGAGGCTGCAGGCTGGAAGTCAGGGGTCTGGGTGCTGGCGGAGCGTCGTCCTGCTCTGTCTCATGTGGACTTTGCTCCGTGGTGCACAATCCTGGCATCTCCTTCTCTTCATGGAAAGTCACAGTCCTGTTGGACCAGGGCCCACCTGTGCGACCTCTTTGAAGACCCTGCTTCCATTGGGTCACATTGGGGTTAGGGCTCCAGCGTCGGGATTTAGGAGGATGTAATTCAGCCCTAACAGATGGCGGTGATAGGAATGTTGCAAAGCTGAACTCAGTGCGCATGTGTGGAGGTGCTTTCCTGGCACACAGTCTGCCTGGGAGTATTCAAATTTATTTCTGAAAGTTGGAAACATGAGCAGAATCCTGGGACCCTCACCGAGTCCCCACTTGGAGAGGGGCAGCGTCAGAGTCACCTTCCCATGAAAAAGCCCAAACACCACAGGGGCCGAGGAGCGTCGTGGCAGAGGCGGATGTGACCCCTCACCTGAATGAAGAGTCAACTGTTTGCTAAAAAGCTTCCACCTGGAAAAGATGGGGACGGCGCAAGGGGCTTCCTCCCGACCTGGGAGCGATTTCTCCCTGAGACCCCTGAGAGGTGAGATGTGGAGCTGGTCAAGGACACTGGCAGGGAGAGAGAAGTGACCCGAAGACCCCCGTTCCCCTGTCTTCCCACCCAGAGAGCTCCTCCCTGGGGGACGAGGTCAGGCCCCTAGGCTGACAGGTGGTTGGGATGGTGAGGCCCAGGGGATGGCAGTGGAGAAGGCCCTGGGGCGCAGATGCACTTGGAGAGGGACGCTCCTCCCACCTCGGAGAAAGACTCATTAGCGGTTCAGTCCGTCTACTGGAGGAGGCACGCGTCCTGCTGTTTAGACAAGTTAAAACCTGAGATTGAGTTGAGAGCATCTGGCCTTTAGCCATCTCTAAATCGCACAGCCAGATGTTAATGCAAATCCAAGGTCGTCGCTGACACTCGGCACCTGCCTCCAGCCAGTAGAGCTCAGCTCCTGCCCCTGGAGAATATGGCAGCCAGTTCCTGACATAGGGGCTCCCAGAAACCAGGCGCAAATGTGGGGGTTCCCAGAAACCAGGCGCAAATATGGAAGCCCCCCCCCGGCTGCTTGCTGATGGGGAGGGTGCTGTGAGTGTGTCCAGCCTGATCTGGTGGCCTGAACCTCCTCTAGAGGGTACAGGGGACCACAGCTGACTGACGGGAGAGCAGCGCGAAGAAGCATAAATATGACGCTGTCCTGACCCTCCTAGTGGTCAGCACAGAACCTCAGGAGCAGAGCAGTGGAGACCTGGGGACAGGAGAGTTTGTCTTTGGACAGAGGCGTGTTCCCTGCAACGCACAGGCAGGGCCTGGGGCCACGCAAAACAGCAGGTGTATGTTTCAGGGAACATGAGCTTTTCTGTGGGGCCCACTGTGGGAGGCTGAGCAGAAGCAGGGCGGCGGCGGGGGGCTCAGCTCGCAGCTTCAGACCTCGGTGGGGAGGGAGCACCCTGCCCTCACAAACCCATCTCGCCCTGTCTCCCAAAGGCCTTGTCTCCAGATACCGTCATCCTGGGGTCATGGCTTCAACAGAGGAATTTGGTGGGGGGCACAGTTCCGTCCACTGCAGGGAGTGACATGCTCAGGCCGTGCCTGGGTGCTCAGAGTGAGTGGCTGTGTCCATCCTTCCAGGGAACCAAGACACACCAGGGTATGTCCTGGGGAAAGGCAGGCAGGCTGGGGCAGGGACTGAGGGTTTCTAGCTGGGTGAAGGGAAGATTTCAGATAGATAAGTTTTTAAATGTTTGGGGGACTCTTGGAGAGGGTGAATTCAGCTAGCTTTGAATTTCTGTGGATCAAAACCAGGCTTGCTGGGTGGACCCAGCAGAGCGGCAACTTCCCCGGTGCCCGCGCCCTGAGAGCTGCCCGCAGCGTGCCTCCTTCCGCAGCAACGCGGTGCCCTCGGTCACACTCCAGGGTAGAGCTTCAGCGAGCTTTGCACATGTATAGCGTGGCTGGTTGATCGAAGCTGTTTGTCCCGGTCGCCCTTCTCTCTCCCTGCTCTGGCATCTTGCTGTTATGAAATCTCCAGGTTGGAATAGTCATGACCCAACAGCAGGCACGGGTGCCCGGCACCTGCCGTAGGAAGAGCAGGCCAGGTGGCTCCGGCAGGCGCTGGGCATGCAGGCTGCTGCGGAGAGGGATTCAGAGCAGGGCAGGGCTTGCGCCCTGAGGACGAGGACGAGGGTGACACACTGAGCACTCCCTCTGGTGTGGGGCTCTGCTCCTCCCTCCGTGAGACCTCCTGGCTGTCCACCCGGTCCTGGGCCTGCCTGGATCTTGGGCCCTGCCCTCACTGGGTGCCCCCCAGCATCAGTGCCTCTCATTGCCTTGCTGTGTCCCTGCCTGCTCTGCTGTCCTTGGGTCCCTCCCTGAGCTCCTCTTCCTCACCTGGGGCTCCTGAGGGCTGCCCCGGCCCCTGCCTCCCACTGGGAGCTTCTCTCTGGGTGCCCTCCATCTCCCCTGCCTGTCCCTGTCTCCCTGTGTGCCCCGTGGCCTCCGCTTCTGTGCCTCTCCAAAGCTGCCTCTCCCTGCCCCACCTCAGGGAGGGCATGCACCCAGTGCCGCCATGTGCACCTCACCAACAGGTCCCATCAGGCACAAGCCTCTGCTAACGCTGCCTTCTGGGTGTCTCTCAATCTGGGCAGCTCTTCCCACCCTCCCAGACCCGCTTGCCCGACCCCTTCACCCCGGCCTCTGCCCTCGGCCCCCTTTTGCGCCTCGCAGTCCCTCCTGCTGGCATTGCCGGACACAAGTCTGATCTCGCTGCCCTCTCCAACCCTCCTCAACCCACAGCATGGAGCCCGCCCCACGCCCTCTCCCGTGCTTTCCTAGGCTCTGAGGACGGACGAGGAAGCTGCGTCCCATGCCCCTTTTCTATTCCCTTCCTCTTGCATGCGCTGCAGTTGCCGGACGGCTTCCCCGATTCACCAGCAGGCCCCGAGCTCTGGCTCTGGTAGCCAGCACCCTGCACGGCGGGCGGCACACAGTGCCCGGTGCGCGAAGCAGAGTCGCCTGCGTCCTGGCTGGGCCCAGCCTGGGCGCTGTTAGGATCGTCCCCTGCCTCTCTCATCCTCCCATCGTCCCTCAGGCTGGATGTGGCCCCCAGCTGCCAGCATCAGGAGAGCAGCCTGGGCCTCAGAGCAGCAGAGCGTGGCTCTGGTCCTGGCTCTGCCATGCCAGGCCTTGTCATTTTCGTAGCACATAAGAGATTGCATGTGAATGCGCTTTGTGGACCAAGGCTGTGTTTTTATGCAATGTAAGCCAGTTTTTGTGGGTATGTGGTTTCATTTTAGCAAAGCTCACTGGAGTCGGTATTCCATTCTCTGGTTTCTATTTATTCTGAATTGAGGGAATGTTACACCTGCTTCATAAAACAGACTAGGAGTTCCTGGCAGGGAAGTCCTTGGTTCTAAGAAGGCAGGTGGCATCACGGTCGGACAGAGTGTTATCTGCATGCAATAGGAAGCCCTTCCCACCACCCCCATCTTGCAGGATGGCCCACATTGAATTTCATTTAGTTCCTGTAACCGTGGGTTATAATTGATCATGAAATCCTAACAATGTGTAAACATGTCCATGAAAAAAAAATTGACTGAGTTAAATCGGATTGCCTGTTTCTTTTCCTGGTTTTCCCCTATGTACTTGTTTGCTGTTTGATAGTTGGGCTGGTGGTCAGTGGTAACCACCAGCACAGGTAGGAGCAGGTGCTGAGGGCTTAACACTCCATGAGGGGAGCGCTGAGAAACTCGTCCCTCTCACCTAACTTGTTCTAGAGACTGGGTGACGGTGACACTCTTAGGCTTGGTCCAGTGATGACAGAGACAGTCCTGGGATCGTGGTATCCCTTTTGCTATGAATGAGAGGAGAAGGGCGGGGGACACACACCACCCCACACCACTGCTGCACACACCTAGGCCAGAGGCAGGGGCCAGCAGGACGCGGGGATTGGGCATCCTGCTCTAGAGCATGTCAAGTCGGGAGGCATCTGGTGAAGTGCTCCTGGGACCCTCCTCCCTGGCTCAAGTTCACACACCAGAGAGGAGCCGGGGCTTTGCCACCCCCCGCGACACCATGTTCCGGACAGTGCCGGTTATGTCCGTGCCTGCAGAGTGTGGGTGCGTGGTGTGGGGGTGCAGGAGGAAGAGCTGGGAGGCACTGCCTTGCTGGGATGGAGGAAAGGCAAGCTCTCCCCTCACACAGGCATGGAGGGGATGGGACGTGGTTGAGTCTGGAACTCAGGGATGCCCCGTTTGGCCCCTCCATTCTATAGTGTGTGTGACTTCTAAGGGGAGCACTTTGTCCTCCGGGAGCTGCATCAACAGGCGGCCTCCCTGTGACAGTCACATACGTGACCCTGAAGAGATGCAGAGCTGTCTGTCTTGGTCTCTTCTATGTGTCTGTGATGTTAGGGAGGAGGGCCACCGGGTCACCCGGGCATGTGTGTGATGGAGGAGCCATAGGATCACCTGGGCATCAACCAACTTTGTTCTTATTGTTTTCTACAGGAGACATGGGGGACAAAGGACAGAAAGGCAATGTGGGTCGCCATGGAAAAATCGGTCCCATTGGCTCTAAAGGTATTTGTGATGCGATTCTTGCCTCATTTTCCCCAGCCCCAGGCTCAGGGTCTGGATACCCTGAGAATAACCCTAGCCTGAACCGTCTTGTCTGGTGTGCTTATTTATTTTCTGGGCACGGTAGATAAGAAATCTGCGGCAGTGCTTACATTTTTGGGGTGCTTGGAGCTGGTTGCTGGCTCTGTGCCTGCAGGGTGGGGTGAAGTGCCCCCCATTCTGCGGGATTTTCACAGTGCCCCAGGATGGAGGGGCTATAGCTCTCGAGTGTGGGCAAGACTCTGGCTGTGCAGCCACAAAGTCCTTAACAGGCTTGGTAACACGCTTTGCACCTCACGTAAGGAGTGGACAGACCCTGCTTGGGAGATGTGGCGTCTGCTCCCCGCCAGCTCGGGTCTCTCAGGTGTTTCAAGGCGATGGGACGATGTTTGGTGAGAACAGGGCTGGGATGGCAGCAGGGGGTGTGAGCAGCAACTACGGTGCCCACCCAGGCTCGGGCCACACCTGCGGGGTCTAATCGCACTGTCTCCGCTGCTGCATTTGCTGCACAGCCTTGGTGAGGCGGGCAGGTCAGCTGTGCCTCCCTGATGAAAGACTGAGGCCAGAGCATCCCAGGGGTTGCTCAGAAGGCTGCTCCTATGTCCCCGGGGCCATCTGGTCAGTGGACGTCTTTGGAGCGCTTGGCTTGTTCCAGGCTCATGCTGGGCTTTGGGGGACAGAGCTGGTGGGAAGGCAAGGAGCTGGCCGTCCCTGAGCTCTGCAGTGCACACTCATGAGTCTCCGAGGGGTCCTGTGCATTGTGGCAATGTGGCTGAGCTGCCCTGAGCACTGGCAGCGGGGAGTCTGCTGTGGTCTGTCCAATTCCAGGACCAGGTTCTTCTACCTCATCCATCTGTCTCAGAGCAGGATGACCCAGGTACCCAGAGGCCACGGTTGGGGCTTGAGCTGTGAGGGGTTCTGGTGGTTTGCTTGGATCCATGGTCACAGACCTCCCCCTAGCCCAGCCTGTACCTGGCAGAAAGGGGTCTGTGGCCAGGAGAGTGATGGGGAGGGGCCCAGCTCAGCCACGGGCCTCCTCCTGGAAGGCACCTTCCTTGCCACGGCCAATCCAGGGAAGAGCACGCAGAGAACCATGGGGTCCAAGGGAGGCGTGCTTCGCAAACCCACCTGGCGTTATGGTAAGAGAGGTATGGCCCCAAACCTGCCATTTTAAGTATTTTAAGTGTACAATCGGGGGCACCGAGTACATTCGCAGTGTTTTACAGCCATCACCACTATTTCCAAAACCCTTCTGTCTCTCCAGAGAGAAACTCCGTGGCTCTCCGTTCTTCCTCCCCGACCCCGGTCACCTCCAGTCTGCTTTCTGTCTCTGAATTGACCCATTCTAGGTATTTCACATCTGTGCAATTCTAACAACGTTTGTCCTTTTGTGTCTAGCTGATTTCAGTTAGTGTTATGTTTTCAGGGTTCACCTATGGGGCAGTGTGGTCAGAATTCCCTGCCTTTTCAAGGAATAATGTTCCACTGTATGGATGGACCACATTTGTTATCCATTCACCTGTTGATGGACACATGGGTTCCTTCCACCTGTTGCCTCTTGTGAATAACGCCACATTGCATACTGACACACACATAGGGATGTGTATACTTTTTCCATATGGTGTGTGCTCTGGGCAGATTCCAGCATCTCCTAAGGGGCAGCTGGTCCAGGCCAGCCTTGTTTAGCTTTGCTGAGATTGTCATCCTGGGTTCTGGTCAAGCTGTGCTTTCATTTCCAAGCTCCCAATGCTGATAAAAGAACACAAAGGAATCAGGTGGGCGGAGGCTGAACTCCTTCCCTCCTTCTGCGAATGGAATCTGGACCCACACATGTCCCTTTGCAGAGGCTTTAGGCCCTCTCCGTGAGAATAAAGCAAATGCCTCAGGGCTTGTTTCTTTCTTTCTTTTTTTTTTTTTTGTGAGACGGAGTCTTGCTCT